TGAGTGTTGATAGTTGATCCAAGAAGAATGAAGTCCTTGACAGCTTCAGTCTTTTCTCCATTGATAAGAATGTTGTTTATAGGTCCAGTGGTGAGGATTTTTGTTTTCTTTACAATGAGATGTAATCCAGACCAAAGGCTATGTTCTTTGATCTTCATCAGTAAATGTTTTAAGTCCTCTTCACTTTCAGCAACCAAGGTTGTATCATCTGCATATAGCAGGTTGTTAATGAGTCTTCCTCCAATGCTGATGCCACATTTCTCTTCATATAACCCAGCTTCTCGGATTATTTGCTCAGCATATAGGTTGAAGAAGTATGGTGGAAGAATACAACCTTGTCGCACACCTTTTTAAATTTTAAACCATTCAGTGTTTCCATGTTCTGTTCGAAGAACTGCTTCTTGGTCCAGGTACAGATTCCTCATGAGCACAATTAATGTTCAGGAATACTCATACTTCGCAATGTTGTCCATAGCTTTTTGTAGTTTCCTGTATATTTTACATATCAGTCCCTAGTCTGATGTGTCATTGCAAAAGGTTTTTCCCCATTCTGTGGGCTCCTGTTTTACCCTTTTGATGAAATCTTTTGATGCACACACGTTTTTAATTTTAATATATCCCAATCATCTATTTTGTCCACTTTTGTTTGTGTAATTTTCAAAATGTTTGGTAGTCTATGTATGCCCTCTATTAGGGACCTCGCATTTGCCCCTATTCTTTCATTGATGATCTTTAGAATTCTGGGATTCACATTTATGTCTTTAATCTATGCTGAGTTGTTTTTTGTATAAGTGGTGAGGTAAAGGTCTTGTTTCAGTCGTTTGCGTATCACTTTCCAGTTCTGCCAGCACCATCTGTTGAAGAGACTATCTCTTCCCCAAGCAATATTCTTAGGCACTTTGCAGATGTATTTTTAATATGATTACTTTTACTATGCAGACATTTGGACTTTGCCGTTTTGTTATTAGCCATTTTAACACTGCAGTTTTGTTATTTTACTACCATTGCCAGATTTAATGATAGATTTTCCCCCTTCCCACACACACATTGATAGAATTTCTAAATCAGTAATGTATACAAACTGACCAATTAATGAACACAAACTAAGAATATGATCAAACTAGGAATTGTGTTGTAATAGAGTTGTGTTGTGTTGTACTAGAGAAACTGAAATGGTCATATTATGCTAATGTTCCCTTTGTCACTGCTCATCTGTCAGTTTGTTGTACTGTAGTAGCTTGTGTGTTGCTGAGATGTTGGAACCTATGCCACCAGTATTTTAAATACAACAATGATCATCCATGGTAAACACATGGCTTCCAGGAATGAGACTAGAAAGAAGGGGATGCTGAATACTTCAGAATGGCCACTGAAAACCTTATGAAGGGTCAGACATAGTACTAAAAGTTGAATGGTGGTTATGTGCCGTGGAGTCGGTTCTGACTCATAGTGACCCTGTACAGGGTTTCTGAGGTTGTAAATCTTTACGGGAGCAGAAAGCCTCATCTTACTCCCGCAGAACAGCTGGTACTTTCGAACTGCTGACCTTGCGGTTTTCAGCCCGATTCGTAACCACTACACTACCAGAGCTCATTAAAAGATCTATAGCACCAGGATATTGTAGGATTAAATGCTGGAAGATGAGCCTCTCAGCTTGGCAGGCACACAAAATATGACTGGGAAACAACTGCCTACTGAAAGTAGAGTTGATTGTGATGACACTAATGGAATAATGCTTTGGGGACCTGCATTTGCTTATGTGGCACAACTCAAAAGGAAGACAAATAGTTTCAAATATCTGTTAATAATCTGAACATTGAATGCACAAAGTATGTTGTTGTTGTTGTTAAGTGCCATCGAGTAGATTCTGACCCATAGCGACCCTGTATAGGGTTTCCAAGGAGCAGCTGGTATGTTGCAGTCCAAACATATTTGCAGTCTGATGCATTAGCCCACAGTGCCTCACTAAGACTCAGTACAATGTATAGATGTAGGAAAATAGAAAGTCATCAAAAATAATATGGAATGCATGGACATCTTTATCTTAGGTATTATTGAGCTAAAATGGATTTGTATTGGATATTTTGAATCTAAAAACCATGGTTTACTATACCTGGAACAATAAGTTAAGGAGGAATAGTGTTACATTCATCATCAAAAAGAACATTTCAAGATCAATCCTAAAGTACAATGTTGTCTGTGATAGACTAATATCCATGCACCTACAAAGGATACCACTATGATTCAAGTTTATGCACCAACCACTAAAGCCACTGATGTTGAAATTGAGGAATTCTACCAACTTCATCAGTCTGAAATTTATCAAGCATACAATCAAGATATATTGATAATTACTAATGATTGGACTGTGAGGGTTGGAAACAAAGAAGAAGGGTCAATAGTTGAAAAATATGGTCTTGGTGATAGAAACAATGCTGGAGATCACATGACAGAATTTTGCAAGACCAATGACTTATTCATTGCAAATAATGTTTTTAATCAATAAGTACTTCACTTGATGGAATAAACAGAAATTGAATTTTCTACATGGGAAAAGACTTTAGAAAAGCTTAATATCATCAGTTAAAACAAGATCTGGGGCCGACTGTGGAACAGACCATTAATTACTCATATGCAAGTTCAAGCTGAAGCTGAAGAAAATTAAAACACATCCATGAGAGCCAACATATGACCTGGAACCTATCCTACCTAAATTTAGAGACCATCTCAGAAACAGATTTGATGCATTAAACACTAATGACTGAAGACCCAAATAGTTGTGGGATGAAATCAGGAAGATCATTAAGAAGACAAAAAAAAGAGAACAAAATGAAATTGATATTGGAAGAGTCTCTGAAACTTGCTCTCCAATGCAGAGATGCTAACGACAATGGAAAAACTGAGGAGGTAGAAGAACTGAACAGAACATTTCAAAGGTCTACTTGCGAAGACAAATTCAAATATTATAATGAAATGTGCAAAGACCTGGAGTGAGAAAACCAAAAGGGAAGAACACACTCAGCATTTCTCAAGCTGAGGGAACTGAAGAAAAAATTCAAGCCTTGACTTGCAATATTGAAGAATTCTACGGGCAAAATATTGAATAATGCAGATATCATCAAAAGAAGGTGGAAGGAATACACAGAATCACTATACCAAAAAGAAATGGCCAATGTTCAGCCATTTCAAGAGGTGGCATAAGATCAAGAGCCAATGATACTGAAGGAAGAAGCCCAAGGTGCACAGAAGATATTGATAAAGAACAAGGCTCTGGGAATTGATGAATACAAATTGAAATCTTTCAACAAACTGATGCAAGCACTGGAGATTCTCGCTCATCTGTGCCAAGAAAATTTGAAGACTGTTACCTGACCAACTGATTGAAGAGATCCATAATTGTGGACATTCCAAAGAGAGGCAACCCAATGGGATGCAGAGCTCTTCGAACAATATTATTAATATCCCATGCAAGTAAATTTTCCTACAGGTAATCAAATAATTGCTACAGCAGTGCATCAACAGTGAATAAGAGGACATGAAATGAGGGATATAATTTCTGATGTTAGGTGGATCTTGGCTGAAAGCAGAGAATATCAGAATGATGTTTATCTATGCTTTATTACCTATGCAAAGGCTTTCAACTGCATGAATCATGAGAAGCTGTATATGACACTGCAAAGAATGGATATTCCAGAATGTTTATTTGTCCTCATGAGAAGCCTTTCATAAATTAAGAAGCATTTGTTAGAACAGTACAAGGGGATACTGAATGGTTTAGAATCAGGAATGGTGTGCCTCAATGTTGTACCCTTTTACCATACTTATTCAGTCTGTATGCTAAGCAAATAATCCGAGAAACTAGATTATATGAAGAAGAATGTGGCATCAGAATTGGATGAACACTCATTAAAAAACTGATAGGAAAACAAACCTTGTTTACTGAAAGGAAAGAAGAGTTAAAATGCTTAATGATGAAGATCAAAAACCATAGCCTTCAGTATGGGTTGGACCTCAATGTAAAGAAAACAAAAATTCTCACAGCTGGACCAGTAAATAATATGATAAATGTAGAAATGATTGAAGTTGTCAAAGACTTCATTTTGTTTGAATCTACTATCAACAAACATGGAAGCTGCACTCAATAAATAAAATGACATGTTACATTAGGCAAATTTGCTTCGAAAGACCTCTTTAAAGTGTTCAAGAGGATGTCAGTGTGAGAACTAAGGCGTGCCTGACCCAAGCCATGTAAATAGCTTCATATGCATGTAAAAGTTTGACAATGAATAAGCAAAACTGTAGAAAAATTGATGCATTTGAGTTTTGGTATTGGATAAGAATATTAAAAGTACCATGGATCAAACAAATCTATGATGGAAGAAGTACAGCCAGAGTGTTCCTTAGAGACCTGGATGGCAAGACTTTGTCTCTCATACTTCAGACATGTTATCAGGAGGGACCAATTCCTGGAGAAGGACATCATGCACGGGAAAGTGGAGAGTCAATGCAAAATACGAAGACCCCCGCAAGGAGATGGATTGACACAGTGGTAGCAGCAATGGGCTCAAGCATAGCAATCATTGTGAGGATGGTGATAGACTGGGCAGTATATCATTCTTTTGTGGGTAGGGTCACGATGAGTTGGAACTGGCTCTACAGCACCTAAAAACACAACAGTCTTCCCCATGCATTCAATAAGCATCACAAGTCCAAACAAAATAAATGTGTTCTGATCAAGGTCAGTATCTGAAAGTATTGTCAACCATTTTGGTGTTTTGGCTTATCTATTGTCACTCCTGCAGTAGGAGGTTAATTGATCTAGCTGGTGGAGAAAGGATATTTTTGAGACATCAAAAACTTGTTTTTTAAAAAGTGTTTATCTCTTAGCTTAAATACCTACTTCTTAATAAATGCAGTTTCTTTTTTCTTTTTAAAAATATGTAAAAAGTAAGATATTTTAGAAGATGAATTGTTTTTTTTTTTTCTTTTTCTTCTCCTAGATCCCAAATGCCCAGGAGATATTGATTTTCATAATAGTGACTGGGACATTAAGACAATCACCAGCTCCTTGAAATTCTACCTCAGGTATGTCTGCTGTGATTTGGGGCTTTCTTTTTCATAGTTGGTGAAATTTGTCTGGGTAGAGATTGCTAGAACAAAAAAAGAATAAAGAGGATATCTATCAAAGAAAAATGTTGAATTGGATGGCTCTTTTAAAAAACAGTAATTTGGGCATTGAAGCAAGAGAAGCATCAACATATCAATAGCATTGCTATTGAAAAGGGCTTAGAAAAAAGTTTGTTGAAAAAATCTGTACTTGGAATAATTGAAGAATTTCTGTCATGGTGCACAGATGTCATGGTGGTCTCATTAGTAAAATCATGAGCTGTAACATTTCAGTGTTTTTAACATGCTTTGTTGGATAACAATGATTTTGAGACACTAAACTGCACTTGGGCAAAAATAATTTGTGCATTATATCTTATGTTTTATAATGGAAATGAAACCAAGAAAATACAACCATAAAATGTTGGAGCTGAATCAAGTGACAGCAGTAGGGGGAAAGAAAGTTAACTTGCCAGCAACATTTAGGGATATAAGCATAAGTTGTTTTGTGAATAAGCACAGTAATGATGAATATATTATTCAGTTTATTGGCATAAGTTTATATTATGAAAAAGAATTTTGAGACTCATTGATTTTTAAAATCCATTTATTTGTTACCATTCTTTATTCCCCTTAGTATGTGCCATACTTTATTTGCAAATATGTCTTTTTTTTTCAATTATTGTGCATTTTAAGCATTAAGATAGAGATCTAAACTCTTGAAAACACCATTAATCCAGAATATTTTGGGTCCCACATATTGTTGTTAGATGACCTTTTGCTGTAGCATTGTATGAGAGTTTTACACAAGCATGAATACTCTTTCTACATTCATGCTTGTTTAATTCTGCAGCATATAGTGAGAAAGAAATAAAATTTTATTGGAGGACTGACTCTGTGCTAGGCCGTATGTTAATTGCTTACATTGGTTGTGCCTTTTTTTCCTCCCCACTAACAGGTAAGGCACTCATTTTATAGTTCAGGAAACTGAATTATACCTCTTGTCCTCCTTGTAATATACAAGGAAACATAGCTTGAATCCAGGTACTTCCGTGGTGGGCTAATGCGCTGGACTACAAAGTCAGTTTGAACTGCAAGGTCAGCGGTTCTAGCTCAACAGCTGCACCTAGAAAATCCTACCCAGGGTTGCTATGACTCCATGGCACTTAACAACAACAACAACACTTCTGACTTGTAAGACCTCTCATGGGGCATCTTCTCATCTACTCACCCACAAGGGACTTTGACCTTTCTGAGTAATGACAGAGAACAATCTGCTATATATACTTTCAGAAGACTCCTGATGGTCAGAAAGTGAGAGTGATTCCGTGTCTCTAGTCCTGGTTTGGCACTGTAGGATCAACATTGGGCTGCTAAACAAAAGGTCAGAGGTTCAAACCCACTAGTCATTCCTTGGAAAGCCTATATACAGCCACTGTGAGTCAGAACTGACTTGATTTCACTTCATGTAACAGTCTAGTTCAAAGGTGTGAATTTTCTAAAAGTTTATATAGGTTAAATTTCTCCTTCTATTACATTTTGCCTTTCTCATTTCACAATATGCAGTTGGCCCCTTTACAAAGTGGCAAGAATATGTCTGAAAGTGTTAGCAGGTTCCACCCCCAGTTTGAAATATTGTTTTTGGGTTTGTTTGTTTTTTTCAGATTCTTATCCTTAGAAAATATCATTATTTTGAGAATAAATCTCCATTCATATTCTAGGCTCCTAGCTCATCCTTCATCCCTGTCATTTTCAGAAATGAATGCTTCTGTGCTAGTAGTGGTAGATTAGTCTCTATTTCTAAAACTCCCAGTTTATTTTTCAACCCAGCAGTGCACATCTCCTTGATCCTCTGTTTCCTCTCCCTCTGACTCTCCCCAGCTGCTCCACTGAAGCTTCTGTTGCCTATATCATGAATGACTCCAACAATGCTAAATACAATTGGCAATTGTCAGTCTTTACTCTACTTTATCTCTCTGTAGCATTTGAAACTGTCAACAAACCTTTCTGCTTGAAATTTTGTACTCTTTTAAAATCTGTGATATCACTTAGTTAAATATTTCTCTCATTTCTTTGCCCATTTTTTTTTTTTTTTTTAGCAGTCTCCTATATGGGTTTTTTGCCTTGTGTTTTCCAAGGCCTTCTTCTCTTTTCAGTACACAAGAGGAATTGAAAACTCAATTATCTACAATCTACAAGGGTAATGAAAGATAAATGAGTGAAGTAGATTATTTTCATATTATACACATTACGTATTGGACCTTTGTTTGCATCTAAACAGCAATTTTTTTTTTTTTTTTTACAAATGACGATGTAGGTCCAATTGAAGCTTGAAATTATGCAGGGAACATGGATTTATTTCTATGTGAAATATCTCAATTACTTACATTTTGTTACCTGATTCCGTTTCTGTTTTAAACTGTGCTGAACAAACAAAAAATAATGAAAGATCTCATGTACTTGTTTGACTACCAGTTTGATTTTAACTACCCTCCTAGACCATTAGGAGCCATGGTGGTACCACAGTTAAGTGTTTGATTTCCACCTGAAAGGTGGTCAGTTTGAACTGCCACTGTAACTCTGCAGTAGAAAAATATGACGATCTACTCCTATAAATGCTTTGTCTTTGTTGTTAACTGCTGTCAAATTGGCTTCAACACATATCAACCTTATATAGGGATTCCGAGGAGCAGCAGGTGAGCTTGAACCACCAACATTGCAGTTCAAACTGACTTTGCAGTCCAGTGCATTAACCCTCAGCAGCACATCTGTACTCCTCTAAAGATTTGTTGTTGTAGGTACCATCGAGTTGGTACCTACTCACAGCGACCCTATGCACAACAGTACGAAACACTGCCCAGTCCTGGACCAAAATCACAATTGTTGCCACTTTCCCAATCCATCTCTCTGGGAGTCGTCCTCTTTTTCTCTGACCCTCCACCTTACCAAACATGATATCGTTCTCCAGCGACTGGTCCCTCCTGATAATATGTCTAAAGTATGAGAGATGAAGTTTGGTCATCTTGGCCTCCAGGGAGCACTCTGACTGCACTTCTTCCAACACAGATCTGTTTGTTCTTTTGGCAGCCCATGGCACTTTCAATATTCTCCTCCAATACCATAACTCAAAAGCATCAATTCTTCCAGTGTATAAGGTCTTCCTTATTCGCTGTCCAGCTATTGCATGTATTTGAGGTTATTGAACATACCATGGTTTGGATCAGGTACACCTTAGTCCTCAAGCTGACATCTTTGTTCTTCAACGCTTTAAAAAGGTCTTGTGCAGCAGATTTGCCTAATGCAATATGTCATTTGCTTTCTTGACTGCTGCTTCCATGAGTGTTGATAGTTGATCCAAGGAGAAAGAAGTCCTTGAAAACTTCAATCTTTTCTCCATTGATAAGAATTTTGTTTATTGGTCCAGTAGTGAGGAGTTTTGTTTTCTTTACATTGAGATGCAATCCATACCGAAGGCTGTGTTCTTTGATCTTCATCAGTCAGTATTTTAAGTCCTCCTCACTTTCAGCAAGCAAGGCTGTATCATCTGCATATCTCAGGTTGTTAATGAGTCTTCCTCCAGTCCTGATGCCATGTTTTTCTTCATAGAACCCAGCTTCTCAGAATATTTGCTCAGCATACAGGTTGAATAAGTATAATAAACCTGTTGCACACATTTCTTTATTTTAAACCATTCAGTGTTCCCATGTTCTGTTTGAACAACTGACTCATGGTCCATGTACAGATTCCTCATGGGCACAATTAAGTGTTCAGGAATACTCATACTTCGCAGTGTTTTCCATAGCTTGTTACGATCCACACAATCGAAAGCTTATGCATAGTTAATAAAGCACATGTAAACATCTTTCTGATATTCGATGCTTTCAGCCAAGATCCATCAGAGATCAGCAATGATATCCCTCATTCCATGTCCTCTTCTTAGTCTCGGTTGAACCTCTGAAAGTTCTCTTTCAATGTATGCTTGCAGCTGTTTCTATATTACCTTTAGTAAAACTTTACTCGCATGGGATGTCAAAGATATTGTCCAATGATTTCCACATTCCATTCGGTCACCTCTGTTTGGAATGGGCACAAATATGGATCTCTTCCAATCCGTTGGCCAGATAGTTGTTTTCCAAATTGTTTGGCATAGATGAGTGAATGCCTCTAGTGCCTCCTCACTTTCTTGAAAGATTTCAATGTTTATTCCATCAATGACTGGTGTCTTGTTCTTTGCCAATTCCTTCAATGCACCTTGGACTTCTTCATTCAGCGTCATTGCCTCCTGATCATATGCTACCTCTTGAAATGGTTGAACATCAACCGTTTCCTTTTGGTACAGTGACTCTTGTATTCCTTCCATCTTCTTTTGATGCTTTCTGCATCATTCAATAATTTGCTCAGAGAATCCTGCAATAATGAAATTGGGACTTGAATTTTTTCTTCAGTTCCCCCAGCTTGAGAAATGCTGAGCGTGTTCCTCCTTTTTGGTTTTCTGACTCCAGATCTTTGCACATTTTGTTGTAATATTTGACTTTGTCTTCTCAAGCTGACCTTTGAAATTTTCTGTTCAGTTCTTGTACCTCCTCATTTCTTCCATTTACTTTAGCATCTTTATGCTGAAGAGCAAGTTTCAGTGTCTCTTCTGATATCCATTTTGATCTTTTCCTTCTTTCTTGTCCTTTTAATGATTTTTTGCTTTCTTCATGTATGATGTTCTTGACGTCATCCCAAAACTCTTCTGGTCTTGGGTCTTTAGTGTTTACTGTATCAAATCTGTTCTTCAGATGATCTCTAAATTCAGGTAGGATATATTCAAGGTCATATTTTGGCTCTCGTGGACTTGTTTTCATTTTCTTCTGCTTCAGTTTGAATTTGCATATGAGCAATTGATGGTCTATTCCACAATCTGCCCCTGGCATTTTTTTGACTAATGATATGGAGCTTTTCCATCGTCTTTTTCCACAGATATAGTTAATTTG